TCGATAATTATCCTCGCATCTCTTCCACTTATGGGTAATTACACTGAAAAGTGCTCGATAATTATCCTCGCATCTCTTCCACTTATGGGTAATTACACTGAAAAGTGCTCGATAATTATCCCTCGCCTCTGAATTATGGACAATCCCTTCATCTCTACATTTAATTTATGGAAAATAACTTGTCTTTATTCTCCACTTATCAAAAATTTGTCTTTGTTTCTGATTTCAATCTAAGCCGAAAAATTGACCGTAGCCAAAAACTTCATGTGCAATTTTTCAAAATTCCTAATCATATTAGAACCCTAATTTTGCACTTTAAGAAATCGCATTTTTATAATTTCTACGGGCCGTCATCCAGTTAAAACTATTGTAATTGTATAGTTAATAATATTTTATTTTAACTGAACTTTAAAAAGCAATTAGCCACTCATCATGAATTCAAATGTTGTTTTTTCATGAGTAATGTCAGATTCCTCGTGTGTCAGTTGGAGTAATAACAATGTGACAATTTCATTACATTTAAAACATCATCGTTGAACAAGTATAAACTGTTTTTTTATTTCAGGTAATAATTATAAGTTATGGTTTGTTAATGTTTTAAATCTAAGATTTGGTTTTGAATAATTTTGAACCTCCTTAACTTCTGGTTGTTGAACATGTTTAATTAAAAGTTCTACTTTGACTAAAATAATATTCATACCTTCTAACAATTTATTGCGATATCATCTAGTGACATAATTTTTTTCAACTATCCTGCCTCTTGTACAACATCTTTTTGTTTATAATGTTTATAATATTTTTGTTTTTAATGTGTGTTATTACCACTGCTTAGTAGCTAGTTAACTTGCCTGGCCTCTTCATCAATCAGGGGAGTGACACTATAAGACCGAGGTCTGTAGACCTGACTCCTGTAGTATGCCGGATATTCATATCCGGGGGGAACGTAGCTACCAAACGATTTTTGATGTTCGATTAGTCTGCTTGGAGACACCGAATAACTTACTGGTGGTGCTTTACGCTCGGGAGAGAAGTCATAGCCTGACTCGTAGCCTCTTTCACACATGGGAATGAACTGGTTTTGGCCGTGGAGATGGTAAGGATGGTCATGTGTTGCAGAGTAAGCACGTTGAGGCTCGTAGCGAGGAAGCTCTGTGAATATAGATACAGAGAAACATCACATCGGCAGAAAAACAGTATCGAGGTGTGTGCAAGGTGAAAAGAGACGCTGAACTAAATATGAACAAAAAGAAGAAAAGAGATCGTCACATGAAATAGCTATAATGCTTAAGCACGCACAATATACTGTGTGTGAAACCATCAAATGCTATCGGAAATTGATAGCACAAAATATCAAAATAAAAACTTTCAATTTTCAGGATTGTGAAGTATCAGCAATAATAAATGAAAGAGTTACAATGACTTAATGACTTTACTACATCGAATGTGGTCACATTTAAGAGTAGTGCCCCTTGCTATGCCTTATCTGAAAGTTACATCATGCATCTTTTTATCTCGTATGTTTTAATTAAATTTTAATCCATTAGGCAATATTATGGGCAGCAACCACGATACAAAGAAATATTTAAAATTTCATTCTAATTCTCAAATATTATAGCATTATTTGATAAACACTTCTTAAATATACTGATTTTTGTAGCATGTCGTTAAAACCACAAGGAGACACTAGTTTATATTCTAATTTTTTTTAAATGAAAGTTTGATAAGTGGAAGATTACCTTCATATAAACGATCCTTCAGATGTTCTAGGCCCAGTGTTATGTCAAGACCAATCAATTTCCGTTCGTGCACCGTATGTGTTAACTTTCCTTATCATAACATTCCTTACTGAATCTCTGGTTTGTAGCCTTCATCACAGCTTCATAAATATTTATTCATTTTTGCATGCTTTATACATTCTACTCAACAGTTACTACATCATAACAGTGGTCATATTAATGTATTCAGCCCAATTTTTATATTCTTGAGTTATTGGGCACAGGAGTGTACTAAAAATATTTAAACAAATGTCACTGAACACTTTACCACGTAGTAGAGTTTGTTAAGACTATATTGTCTTCTTACCAGCAACAGGAACAGACTGAGTTCTTTTTCTCCACTCAGATGGAGCTGGAGAATAGGACCTTAAGGGTGGACCAGGGTCAATATTTGTCGTCATTACGGGCGCTGTTGGGTATGGGTTTGCTCTGCCATATGGTTCTGAACTTGCAGAAGGTCGCACGCTCTGCTGAGAACACACACACACACACACAAAACAATTAAAGGGGAAAATTTATTTAGTCTTATCTGTATGATCAAATAGTAAAATGAATAAAAGTTCGTGTTCTTTACAAAAAAGAAAATCAATTTTAGTCTAAACATGTCATTCATGTTGGAAAATGTTTAAGCACTGAATGGAAGTTTAACATTTCTTCGTATACAAACGAGTGTGTGTTAATTGTAGAAGAACAAGTATTTAACCTGTACAGTTTACAAAGTTTCCAATAAATCATTGTTAAATCCTGAGAAATATATAAATATTTATACTGTTAATGTGCTTATCTAAGTTCAAAAATTATGTAAATAAATATATATATAAATGTGTATATTCAAAGACTAATTGCGCATACAATTCATCATTAATAACAGAATATGTGTAATGGTAAAAGTTCTTTACTGCAAACAAACTTATATATAGTAATACAAAAGGTGTTCCTTGGGGAGATTGATTAACTGCCCATATATATTCTTTATCATGTATTGTTAAACTGATTAACCAAACAGAAAAGCATAACTCCAGATTAAAGGTATTTACGATTGGAAGTGATAATTCTACGTGCATGATCTTTTTAAATTAATGCAGTAAGAAACGTCAAGTGATTGTTTATCTGTGATTGTTTTAAATATTAAATAACATATTATTATCACAACCGGAGCATAATTAATTCTAAGGTGTTACATAGGCTATTTTTGTCTCTTTTCATTTCCAACCTCAAATGGAGCTCAAACACAAGCTAATAAGCATCCAATTATCACCGATTAAATTGTATTTGCTCCCCCTTTTATAAGCCATTTACTGCCTAATCTGAAAATATGTTTTGATTAAATATCCACCTATCTCAAGATATATAACTTAAGCTCGTGTTGTATTTCTTTAGCCAATTAAATTATTTTTGTCCTGTTAGGAGATAACGTTTATACATCTATTTAATGAACGGATCTTGTTTTCGCGCGAGGATGTTCTAGAGACAATTAAGACAAATATTCAACTAACTCATTGTGCCCTGTGTGTGTTTTGATGACAATGCTAAAGTTAACTTTTTTTATCCATCTCCGCACCTTTGCTTGATGAATGTGCTGATGTTGATATTCCGAATCAAATTCAGGCTCCGAGAAGTAATTCAATTCTTGGTCACAATTGCTGAATCCTTCGTCGAGGTTAACACTTTGTTCGTAGATTCGAAGCACCGAACCATCTCGAACTTCCCTTGTAAATTAGAAGCAAATTATTAATTGGTAATAAAGTTAATAGTCTATTATGTTTTGAAAAACCAGGGTTTTAAAAGCTTCTTCAATGTTTATCCATTTAATTAAGCGGCTGTATATTATTGTAGAGACGTTCCCTCCAAAAGTTTTTGTTGCTGTCTAAGATATCTTCTGCTTAAATATAATTCATAACAGCACCCATTTAATCAAAAAAATCTAGCTGATCATTTAATTATAATATCAATATTTATTTTTTACTGCATTAAAACTTCTCGAGTTTACCAAAATTAAGTTTAATTTCCCCAATTACTATTGTTTGACAAAAACATTGACTACACAATTTTTCTTTCCCTTACACTGATTTAATTAATTTTCCATTTAATACTTTTCCAAGCGGTTAATCATTAGACATAAACAGAATTGGGACAGTAAAACCACCTTTCATTTACTTTTTACTGTTGTAGTAACTCATTCGTTTGTTTAAAAAAAATCAAAGTAGGATCAATTATGATCACGCAATATAACATACTTTTTGAGGATTCTCTAATACAGGCATGCAATTAACACGTTTGGAAGATTCTCTGATACCCATACTATCCATGTTGCTTAAGAATGTTTTATACACGAACCATTAGGTCAGCTTTTGGAATCTTAGTGGAGTTAAAATGTTGAATAGGTAAAGATACACTGCATAAACAATTAAAGTAAATTTAAAATATTTTGGATATAATAAAGTAAAAACAAACAAACAACTCTGTTATAAAGTCATGTTAACTCCACCCCCACCCCTCATCATTTTTGAAACAAATCAATCATCTGATTATCTGTCACGTGATTTGAAATGCAGATGATTGGGCATTGGGCAAGTAAATGAACATTTGTTAAGAGATGGTTTTTACCACTTTACAGCTTATAACCCTCACTTAAATATGATATAACTGTTTCAGGAGCATCTTCATTGTCTAATCACTTAACGGGATAAAACGTGCTTCCTATGAGCAGCCCACACGTGCTCAATGGGACTGAAGTCTAAATAATATGCAGACTTCATTCGCTCAATCTTCTCTTCTTGTGTCAATCTGTTAAACGTCACGGAGGGGAGGGCAGGAATTATCATCCGTTAGACTGAAAAAGTAGGGTCAACCAGCATATGGAATCACGAAAGGTAGTAGAACGTGATTCTTCTTATAATGTAAAGTAATAATGGCACTATTTTGACTGACGTCATAATGGTTCCACCAATGCTTATTTCTGTCAACACCATACTTACACCATGCGTCGCTTTCCTGTGTGAAAATAATTACAGATTCTTTTCAAATGTCTATACCCCTTTTATTAGACTTCAAAGTGAAGTGTGACCGATCCACGTATTTTTAGTCTACTAAAAATGCTCTTGGTACCTATGCAGACAAGACGTTTTGTGCCTTGCTGTTAGTGAAATTCTTCTCACTGGGTGTATGACAAACAGATTAGCCTTATCCTTTTTGCACACTGACAAGACACCCGCTTAAAGCTACAAGTATCTAATTCACTCTCGGAACAGGTATCCTACTAAGTCAGAATAGACAGAAATTGTAAAGATGTTAGAACAACAGTACCACTTGTTGGAGAGTGGATCCACAGTTTACTTATGACTGGTTGGTTCTGCGCATGAGTGAAACATTCAGATGTCTTCTTTAAGTCTAGTCATAGTTCAAGTTGGAGTACTTTAACCTCTGTGATCTACTTCAAAGTGGGGAATAAGACAATACTGTGTAAGACTAATATCTATAACAAAATCCGAGTGACTAAACCCTTGCACATAAGATTACATGAATAATAATCAAATACTTGATTTACATAAGAATAAACTAAGAGAAGGATTTTAACGTTATTATACAGCAGTGGGCTTGCTTTGCTATAGGTATATAATTAAGAATGTCAATTATTATTTGGCTGTTTTGTGCAGCGTATGATTAAACCAGGTTAATACAGTATTAGTCCGATTATAGGGCAATCACGAATATAAGGCGACCCCATTTTCAGAAACCATGGGAAAGTAAAGATAATGAGTGTTATAACGTCCTTGTTTTAGGTACGCAAAATCAATTCAATAAACGAACAACCTGCAGATGGAGTAGTTGCAAGAATTAGCGACGTCGAGCAAACATCTGGCGTGCATGCGTAGACGTAGACGGATAGTATCTGGACATTCAGGAATACACAAGATAGAGTAGGGAGAAGGGGCCTGTGGTCGGCCGCGATTATAAGACGACTGTGCATTTTACAGCCTAATTATTAATCAAAAAACATCGCCTTATAATCGGGTCAATACGGTAGTTAAAATAGGATACTAAAATGGCCTTTATCAGATTTAGATGAAAACTTTGCACAACTGTTGTGAAAGATAGGATAGATTGCTTATGATATGTTATATTTCCAAAACATCGTACTTTCCAAGATGATGACCACTAACCTATGTGTTATTTACAGTAGTGATTTCTGAAATTAAATTGATAGGTAAGATATTAGTAGGTTTTACTTGTGTATTATATAACACTCATTTGAAATAAATCTTAGTTTCTATCTAGCAATAATAAAAAAATCTAATAGTATTTCATGTAGTCAACTGCAACATGTGCATTTTTCTCGTCAGCAGAATCCGTCCTGGACAACTACAACAAGTACATGCCATTCGTGCAGAAAGGCAAGGATGTGTACTGGTGAAGTGTAACAGAAGGGGAAAGGATATACTAATGAAGTGGAACATAAAGGATAAGGATGTGTACCGGTTAAGTGTAACAGAAAGGCAAGGATGTGTGCTTGTGAAGTATAAAAGAAGAGATGAAGATGTGCATTGGTGAAGTGTAACAGAAGGAGTAAGGATGCGTGCTAGGGAAGTGGAACAAAAGGGGCAAGAATGTTCAAGTATAACACAAAGGGCAAGAATGTGTACTAATAAAGTATAACGGAAAGGGCAAAGATGTGTACTGGTGAAAAGGAATAAGAACGTCAAGGATTTGTACTTGTGAAGTGGAACAGAAGGGGTAAGGATATGTACTTGTAAAGTGGAACAGAAAAGACAAGAGATGTGTACTAGTGAAGAGAAAGGTCAAGAATTTGTACTTGTGAAGTACAGAGGGGGTAAGGAAGTGTTCTGTTGAAGTGGAACAGAAGAGGTAAGAATGTATACTTGTGAAGTGGAACAGAAGGAGTAAGGATGTGCACTTGTGAAGTGGAACAGTTCCACAGAAGCATATGCAGCATGAGCAGAACATCACACTGTTTTTGCTCCTGAGCGACACTGACAATAGTAGGTACGTAATGGGTGATAACTAACTGATGCTATGCCAAGAAGATCTACAAATTATGATTGTAATTTCATAAAATAGGCCATATAACACTCTATGAGCTTAGCTCTTTTTCAACTCCCTCCTTTAGTTTATTTGATTGGAAAAAAAGTGGCAGCCATTTTCTCTGTAAGACTTTATTCTTTCTCGTGTCTGTTAGCTGGAATGCATTATATAACACAAATAATCTATGGGTAAGTGTCAATATAAGAGTTAGGCATGTCGTTATCCAAGGCCCTCCACATTTAACTCTTCTAATTCCAAGACTAGACAATCGAAATGATCTCTTTATAACCATTCCAAAATGGTTTGGTTTCCCTGTTAGATGTTGCTTTAGCCTATTTTTTTTAGGTAATCTGTTATTTTAACTGGGAAACCAAAATCTTGTAAGAATTTTACGTGTCTCAGAAAATATTCAATAACAAATAAATTCCTCCTATGAATACATTCTTTATCTTGTTTTATATCTGGTAACAGCATACCTTTTCAGGATGGAAGCATCACTGTTCTTGCCATCAGCAAGGTAGGATACGAAAACGTTGACGATGTGTCCATCTGTGCTCACGACTATTATTGGGTCCATCACAAGGAAGACCGCCTGCAATTGCAGTGCTAAGGCTTCTACTTTACAAACTGTAATCACCGCTCTTTTCAGTGTAGATATACTACCATCAAAACCAAAAACAGTTATATCTTGACAATCAACAATCAGCTATCGGGGAAGTGACATTGCAAACCGTGGTGTCTGTCCGAGCGTTCGTCTGTCTCCCGTTTGAAAAGCTGCGCACGCAGGCAAAGCTCAACATTCACCTTTGAAATGACGGGAGATCAGGCATGAATAAGGTTGAAGCTAAATTTTATTTCGCAAGCAGAATATTCTACACTTAACTGTTAGGAATTAATCACACAATCATGCATATTTCAAAATGTGACGTAACTTAATAATAAAAATGTAGATTTGCCGTATGTTATTGTTGAGCGGCTCTTAGCATGAATGAAATGCTCAACAATTACTTTCGCGGTGGGCGGTATAAGTAACTTAGAGCTTTGGCTCTGAGTGAAACCAAGAGTGCAACACAATTAAACCTTTTTAAAGTCCATGAAATAATGTAAATTGAGGGATTAACTTAAACTTTTCCCATCACTGTGGACGGGTACTTTTGTTAGTTATATATATATATATATAAAGCAGTGCACATCTCCAAGTGTATTGCCGGAAAACCAAGTTCTTCGGGAAAATATTGTGACGTGTAAAGAGAGACCAAGTTCTTCTGGATAATATTGTAAAACTTGCCGTTTTGTTATTGTTTTAACAGGTAATATTTTCAAGACTACCTAAAGCCGTCGAAACAGTATTTTCATCTATCCTTATAGGTTCTCTAATTCTGGTCCATAGTGTGTAGTTAATAAAAATCCACTAAAATCACGGCAATAACTTGAATTTGCATACATACATTCAGTCGCGTTGTACGAAACAAAATTTTAGGACTCTTCAAAAACGCATCTGTTGACATTAACAATATAATACTGTACAACAGCATTTTTTATTTTCAAAATGCATAGGTGCATTTAAAAAAATTCAATTACAGAGATAACGTAAGTTTTGGTCTTATATAGACTGAAAGAAGTACAAGCGCTTTGATCTTGATACGCATGAGATTCAGAGCCTAAGTGCAATTCGATTCCAAGCCCCAAACAACAGTGTAGGCGTTCTTCCAGCTGAAGAAATCACGATTTGATTACATTCAATCTCATTCTACATTCAAGCGAAGCCTAGTCGATTTGAACATTAATAGTAGGCCACCAGATGACCTTGAGGACTTAAGGTTAAAATAACCGTTTTTGTTCGTCGGAATCACGGGATTGTAGAGCACTATGTTACAATGATCGTCCCTATCACCGAACTTTAAATAACCAAACATACCTTAAGTCTTCTAGTTCGTAAAACACATCTTTTGAAACATCGTTGATATAAATCCGGATGTATGGAGAATCGAGATAATCCATTGTAAGATGTTCAGGAAAAGCACGAACGAATAAAGCTCTGATCGTGTCTAGAGTCGTCAGTTCATGCGGAAGAACAGAACGTTTCGTTTCTTTCCCATACTGGAGAAAAACTGTACCTACAAAAACACAGGGGCACATATTAACATAACATGTATCGTTGAACTCACGAGAAACACCTTATATAACCTTTAACTGTACATGACTAGTAAACTACTCATCGTACATAGATTCCTTAGGCTTTACTGCTTTATGACATTAACAACAGGATTTCAAACAATGTATAGCATGAAATACGTCTGTGCTTAAGCATTTATATCTCTTGATATAGGAGTGTCAAATGGTGTGAGACTTCATGTTGCAATAAATAATTATTCTGCAGTTTAGTTAAGGAAGGTAGCCAATTTATGTTTCTATTTGTAAAGCTTGCCTAGTTTTATATTATATTAAATCTTATTAGATCAAATTCTGCGTTTACTACGCAGTGGTAAAACTTCATACTAATGATATCAAGAGATTTTTTTTGTAGTTAAGCACAAAGCTTGTAAGTCTGCAGAAATATCGCTGTGCCACTAGGGGGGGGGGCGTATCAGGTGAAATCCGCCAAGTAATATGCACCCTGACCACACAGTTCAATGTTTTAGATAGTGTTAGTGGTTGATTTACAACGCTAGAAACCGAGTTTCGATACCCGTGGTGGGCAGAGTATAGATAGCCCATTGTCTAGCTTCGTGCTTAACTTCAAAACAAACAAATAGTGATTGTATAAAGTGGTAATAACACATCGCTATAATAATGCATAAGTGATTAATGAATTGACAAAATAAAATATCCACTTGTTTCGACAGGCCAAACTTGTCATTTTTAAGGGATGGAGTAAAACAGAACCAAAGCGCCAGAGAACTGATTAAAACATTTTTTTCGATACTGTGCTGTTACTATGGGGGAGAATTAAACTTGATTCTAATATCTTCGTCAGCACGTACTACATACTAGAGTGTGTGTGTGTAGGTAATCAAGAGCACATGGTAGGCCCACGCGAGGTAATAAAAGCTCAAAAAAGTTTCATGAAAGCAGTTTATAAGAGATTGAATTTATAAACAATGTTTGACTCATATCTAATAAAGGTCTTCAAAACTGTTGTTTTGCATATTCATGATAGGTGGCCCCCTTAAACTAAACAGTCTTTTTCGAAAAACAATCACTTTCGTTCTTCATGCTAAATTAATTACTCGATTCCTAATTAACTAAGCGAAAAATAAGAAGCTAAACGAAACAAGATAGAGTTTGTACTGGAATATGTATTAAACTAAAGGTGCTGTAACATTTTGAAAAAAAATAATAGAGTTTTACGTTTGCTTTACCACTAATTGTATAAATAATTTATAGGTCGGAACTTACCATTCTCAGCTAGTAATTGTGGCTGGGAAAAACCTGACAAAAAACAAAACATACATTGAGTTTATTGCACAATGAAGTACATTCAACAGTATAAAAAATAATCCGGCTTTCCTGCCACATAGATTGTCCAATGATACGTTCCTTATAGTCTTTCTAGGACTTTGGACACAACGTATCGTGAATAGTGAAGGTATTCCGTATTTTCAATGTAAAAAGCATCTCCTGTGACCGATGGGCTATAAGTAAAAATTGGTAAACATTTATAATATATTTAAATTTATCTATATATGCTAAAAAAAGAAGAAAATAGGATATAACTTTATTGATTCAAAATGGTTTCACAGCTTCGCCTATTTTTAACGCAAGTTAAAATTTAGTCTGTTAAAGAATCTTCAGGAGTACATACATGAGTAAGTTTATGACAATGTTTATGACAGATATTTAAAATTTTCAGAACCGTTACGAAAGGTCTGAGGTATAATCAAGATGGTGTATAAACTAAATTAATGATCTGAGGTATAATCAAGATGGTGTATAAAATAAATTAAAGATCTGAGGTATATTCAAGATGGTGTATAAAATAAATTAAAGATCTGAGGTATAATCAAGATGGTGTATAAAATAAATTAAAGATCTGAGGTATATTCAAGATGGTGT